TTCTTGAACTGGGGAGCCCAGAACTGGACCCAGTGCTCCAGGTGGGGTCTCAGCAGGGCAGAGCAGAGGGGCAGGAGAACCTCCCTCGCCCTGCTGGCCACACTCCTCCTGATGGACCCCAGGATGTCCTTGGCCTTCTTGGCCACCAGGGCACTGTGCTGGCTCATGGCCACCTTGTCATCCCCCAGGTCCCTCTCAGCAGAGCTGTCAGCGATGCCCTTTACGGCACCCATGAATGGTGCAAGGACAGTGGATGATGTCTTTAGCCTAAAACTGGTGACACTGGCACAGGTGCAGCTGGGTGCTGCCTGGCCTCCAGGTCTGGAGCACCAGAGCATCTCAAGGGGGCAGAGCTTTGATGGCACCTTCTGGTTTTCTCGGCAGGGGAGGGTTTGTCAGGGCGAGTGCAATCTGCCTTCAGGAATGTCTGTCGGAGTGCTCATTAAATGAATTTTAACCGTAAACCCCACATTTTCAGGTACCTGTGCTGCGTTCTCCTCTGGGCTGGGGTCGGCCGCGGCGGGGGCTCAGGGACAGGGTGGTGGGGATGATGGAGGGAGCCATGTTTCCGCCCCTCCCCCGGCTTGCTGGGGACAGGAGCCCTTCCGCAGTTGTCCCCCATGGGAGGAGCTGTCTCTGGAGGGTGGGACACGGGCCCGTTGGGGTGGGAGGATGCCTTGTGAGTGACTGAAGAAGTTCTTCCTCATGTTCAACTGGAACCTCTTCTGCTTCAGTTTGTGCCCATGGCCCCTCGTCCTGGCGCTGGCCACCACTGGGAAGAGTCTGGCTCCATCCTCGTGACGCCCATCCTTGACTTGTCCCTGGGGTCAGGGGCCCAGCTGAGGGCCCGGCTCCATCATAGAACCTAGATGATTCTATCATAGAACCTAGACGATTCTATGATGGAGCCGGGCCCTCAGCCTGCAAGGAGGGAGGGGAACAGGTCCCACCAGCCCTGGGATGCTACTGCTCCTGCCAGCTCCAGAAAAACAGCCCAAGAAAGGAGAGAACCGGGCTCTACCTTCCCTAAATCCCAAGAGCTATCACTTTCCAGAGCCACCTTTACTTCACGACTCCTAAGGCTGGATTCATCAAAGGGTCAGGAGTCGTTCCAGCTCCCCAGGTCTAATGAGCGCCTTGGGGTAACTCCTCTCACCATCAACATCCATTTTTGCAGAAATCCACCCCCCCTCCCCGCCCCCTTGCAAATATTTGCCTGGGTCTTGGTCCATTCCCACAGGAAGGTTTGGGGCTCTTCTGCCGCTGACAGAATCCAAGATGACCGCTGAGCGCCATCATCATCATCAGATTTCCTGCGATGAAGAAATACAAAGCCCGGGGACCGTGCCTTATCCTTCCAGCCAGGAGATTTCAGCCGGAGCTGATGGGGAAAGCAAAGCCCTTTCGGATCATCATTTTTAGCTAAAGGAAGTTTCTCCTGTGCCTGCCTGTAGGTTTTTTGTGCCCCCCGGCACCTCCTGGAAGGATTTTTTTTTTTCTTGATGGTTTGGCTAGTTAAATAATTTTTCCCATTTCTCCTGGCTGGTTGTCAGGGTGGGGTGAGAGGGAGGCAAAAAATATGGCTTATTGATGTAAACCAGCGAGTTAACGAAGCTCCGTGTAAACGCGACGGTCGTTTAGAAGATTCGATGGCAAGGGACGCTTGGTTATTTCCTGCCCAGAGGACCCAAATGCCAGGCAGACCCTCCCATTGAGGCATGAGGTTCAGAAAGGACCCCCTTGCCTCCTAAATTCCTTCAGCAGAGAGGAGCCGGGGCGCGGCTAGAGCTGATCCTGGCCCCAGGCTTGGTCAAGGGTTTAGGTCTAAAAGCTTAGACACGCATGATCCATCCTTCCTAGCGCTTGGCCAAGGTTTCAGAGCTGAGCGCGCTGTCAGCCACTGGCCCAGGATCTGTCGCGGTGAGGAATCTCCCAACCTTGAGGACTGACCCCGAGAGGCGTCCCTGCTCCCGGGGAGGTCTTGGCCTGCAGCCGCTGCCGTGCCAGAGGGCTCCAGAGGCTCCGGGGCTGCTCAGTAGTGATGGGGGTGGGATGGTTGGCTGGTAGTGACCATTGCATACCGACCGCAGATTTTAATTCCAGCACTGCGCTTAGGTGGGCGCATTGCACGATAGCCCTTGGCTGTTGTATTGGTATCTGTCTCCCCTGCATCCATCACGATCAGATGCCTCCATCGTGACTGGACGCGTCCATCGCAACCAGACTCATCCATCATGACCAGATGTGTCCATCGTGACCAGATGGCGCATCCATCACATGGTAGTCCATGAGAAGGGTGGCGGAAAGAGGTCAGGTCGGGGGGGGGGGACACACGGCCACACCAGGGCCAGCCCAGCCTGGGCCATGCTGCTGTGGTTGTGCCCCACGGGCGATACTGGGGTTTTCATAGAGTCACAGAATCGTTTGGGTTGGAAAAGCCCTTTAAGCTCCCCCAGCCCAACCACTCCCCTACCCCTGCCATCCCACCCCCAAACCCTGGCCCTCAGCACCGCCTCTGCCCGGCTGTTAAATCCCCCCCGGGCTGGGGACTCGA